CTTCCGTCTATTTCGTCCCCACCTCGCGCCCCCTTTTTTTCATCTCCCACAGTTATACCAACCGGGGGGGTGAGCACTGAAACCTCCACCCAGCAAAGTAAGGAGCAAGCTAGCTCCAGCGAGTCCGGTCCCAGGCTGGTCCAGGCGAGGCTGGATCAGGCGTCCTGCCCCCTCTTTTTCTTCCCTCCCCCGTGCCCCATCTGAAGCCCGAGGAACCCCTAGAAACGCCGCCGGCGGAGCCCCCAGGGCCCGGTTCCTAGCTCAGGGTACTTACGTCCTACGAACCTGGGAGGGAGGATCAGGGGAGGACCCGCCGAGCAGCCGCGAGAGGAGGGCGGAGAGGCCCGGGGGACGCTGGCACCCCGGTTGGGACTGGCCACGTGCGTGGGGAGGACACCGGACTGGCCCCGCCCCGCTGCTGCCCGCGCTGCCCCAGCCTCCGAACTGCCCGGAAGAGAGCCGGAGCCCCAGCGGCCGCCCTAGGCTGGAGGCGAAGAGCACGGACGCCGGCCAAGTTCAGCCGGGGCCGCCGGGAACGCGCCGCAAGTGGCTACAATGTTGCAGCTTCGGCCCCCCCAGCTACTGGAGGCGGCGGCGGCCGTGGCGGCTGAGAGCCGGAAGTGGGGTGGGGGAGGAGAGGGGACGAGGGGCGGGTCAAGGGCTTGGAGCCTGACGCGCGGCACCGCCTCGGGGTCCTCGGTGCACCTCCTGCCCCCCTACCCTGAAGCATCTAAGGGTTGGGGGATGGGTGCTGCCTGCCGGCCCAGGCCAAACCACGGGGCCCCCAAGGGTGCCCATGGCACCTTTCTTTTGCAATGAGCCATGAAGGCCCTGGGGAGTCAGCAAGGAACTTGCAAAGTGGGGGTCGGCCAGAAGAAACCGGGGCATAGCACTTAAAAGTTGTCTGACCCGGATGAAAAGATGGACGAGCGGCGTCCTTAAGGACTGATAAGATAGGAGACCGGTATTATCCCTCCCTCCCCTTAGTTCGGAGGTGGGGGGGGGGTGCTACGGGTGTGTAATGTGGTATGTGCTGCACGAAACTCTAGGGTTGAACCGAACGTCAGATTCCATCCAAGTAAAGCTCCGCACTCCCACCCCCATTTTGCAGATGAGGAAGTCGACAAGTACGCATTAAAGGGTCTCAGGCACCTTGCTAAGCGTTGGGGTTACAAAGAAAGGTAAAAACACTTTCCCTGTTCTCCAGAAGCTCGCATTCTAATGGAGGAGTCACGGGAAACACCCACGTCCATGTGCGATTTCTTTTCCCCTCAGACCTTCCCCTCCTTCTAACTTCCCGATTAATGCTGAGGCAGCGTTAAGCTCCGCGTCACCCAGACTCAAAGCCCCGGGGGCATCCTTCACTGCCATCCCCACGTCCAACGTGCTGCCAAGGCCGGTTGAGTTCACTTTGCTAACGTCCCCTGGAGTCTGGCCCCTCTCCTGTCCTCCGATGCTCAGCCTGGACCACCCCAATCCGTGCTGGGCTGAAGCCGGGGTCTGCCTGCCTCCAGTCACTCCCCACCCGTCCTTCACACATTCCATCACTCTCCCAGCCTCCATTCAGCCGACTGTGAGCTTCTCAAAGCAAAAGTCTGACCATGCTCCCCGCCTCCAGCCCCCAACTCAATAAACCCCAGCGGCTCCCTGTGGCCTCCTGCAGACACCGATTCCTCTGCTTGGCTTGGCATTCGAAGCCCTCGCAACCTGCCCACACCTCACACCGACCCGACATTCTCTGTGCCACTGTCGTACTCAGTGTTTGTCCCTCTACGGAGGCAGCCCACCTCCCGACTCTGGGCACTTGCCATGGCTGTGCCCCATGCCTGGAATGTTCTCTCCTCATCTCCTCCTCCTGGCTTCCCAGGCTTCCTTTAAGCCTTAGCTAAAATCCCCCTTGTAGAGGAAACCTTTCCCCATCCCCCTTAATTCTAGTGTCTTCCCTCTGGTGATTCTCCCCCATGAGACTGGAAGCCCCTTGGGAGCAGGGGCTGCTCACCTTCTGCTTGGTATCCCCAGCGCTTGGCACAGTGCCTGGCACATAGTACGAACTTAATGACTTGACTGCCAGATACAGAATCAATAGAAGGAACCCTCAGAAGGAAGGCAGTAGCAGTGAGTAGAATGCTGGGAGGGGCATCCTGTGGAAGTAGGCCAGGGAACGTAAGAGCCAAGGTGGGGGAGTGCCCGGAGGGGAAGGGGGGAGGAGTCAGAGTTTGTGAATGCTCTGTTACTGTCACAGGAGTAAGTGTACCTTGTGGTTCCACATTGGTGAGGGAAAATGAAAGTTGTAAAAAATTGCAAAAATAAAAATATTTGCGAGAGGACACTTTGGCCTAGTGGCTGGAGTCAAGAAGACCTGGGTTCAAGCCCCATCTCTGACTTGTTCTAGCTGGGTGACCATGACCATGGCCTCTAAGTAGCCAACTGGAGCAGGAGTCAGGAAGACTCGAGTTCAAATCCAACCTCCGATTCTCACCAGTTGTGTGACCCTGGGCAAGTCAGGCCTTGGACTGCCTTAGTTTCCTCATCTGTTAAATGGGGATCATAATAGCTCCTACCTCCTGGGGTTGTTGTGAGAACAAAATGAGATTTTTGTAAAAACTCCCTGCAAACCTCAGAGTGTCGGGTTCACATTTTCTGCCTCCTACAACCTGCAGGATCTCAGGCAAGTTATCTGTAAAATGAGGTGTTAGACTACATGATGTTTCTTCTAAATCTAATCTATGGTGTTAATTATGTAAAATACAGTGTGATCCTTAGAGTACCATATAGATGTGAGCATTATTAGGAGGCTCAGAGAGGCTGTCACTCAGCCACTCTGCAAGCATCAGGGCTGAGACCGCGTCGAAGGCTGTCTGCATGACTCTGGCTTTAATGGGTCACTAATAAGAGCAAAACCTTTTTTTTAAAGATTTCAAAAGTTAAAAAATTAAAATCCACACTAAAGTTCGATTCCTATTACAATGACCATTAGCGTTTCACTAATGCAAAGAAAGGCAAGCCTATAGATGGAGTGCAGAGTTGGAGGGTGTTCCCCTCAGTCAGAGTCACAGCAACTGGGTTCTGACTCCTGCTTGAATTCGAATTATTGACTGTATGACCTTGGACAAGTGACTCCACCAATCTGGGCCTCAGTTTCCTCATCTGTAAAATGAAGGGGACTGACTAGATTCCCAAGGTCTCATCCAGTACCAAACCCTACGACTTCAGGACAAACAAAACAAATTTTGAACTTCTTGGCACAAAAGGCAGGGAAACCTAATACAGTGATTCCCGAATGCAGCTAATCCTTATCTGAAGCTCCAAACAAAGCAGGACCAGGGTCATCCTTTATGCAGAACTAGGAGGCCCCCGGATAAGAGGCCCTGGCACATCGAACAGTTCTAAAATGGCCTTTTATGGAAGAGTAAAGCCGGAAACCTGGTGGTTTAGGTTTTTTAATGGTTCCTTAAATCTGTAAGGGGCAAAGCTGTCTGAAGATCTCCAAGGCCTTCGTTTAAGGTGTCCTAAAGCAATAACCATCAGCTTTGTTTCTGCTTTGGAAACGTCGGTTACTTTGGTAGCGACTAGGAATGTGGGAAGGGGCTCCTTCCAAAGCGGGGCTCGGGAGCTGGACAGTGAGGGTCAGTGGCCCCACTGGGAACTGTTGGGGTGATGTAGAGTTGTTTGTGGTGGAATTAATTTACGGGACTGGCCTTCTAGTATGCACAGCAGCGTCGCAGCCAGGTCCTCGCGCACTGACGACACAGCTGGGTGGGAGAGGCTTGACTCATCTGGTCAACTATCTGGTCGGAAGGCTATAGAGCATGGTCTGTGCAGCCACTGTGGCTCATCTTCCTGCCAGAGATGCAACGGCTGGACCTCGAAAGCCTGTGCTCAGGTTGGAGCTGGAGTCAGGGGCCACGAGCTCAAACGCCCTCTCTGATATTTACTATCTGAGTGACTGTGGGGGAGTCACTTGACTTTGTGCACTCCTGGATTTCTTCACCAGGAAAATGAGGCTAGACTAGCGGACTCCGGAGGGTCCTGTCAGCTCCAGCGCCCGAGCCACATGGAGCCTCAGTCTCCTTATCTGCTTAATAAGGGGCATTGTACGAGACCTCGGGGGACCCTTCCAGTTCTGGAATGTTGATCCCACATGATTTCTCTTTGGTCAGAGGCCTGTTTTAAATACCTATGACCACTCTCCACAGCAACTGAGGCGATTTCTCCACATAAACAAACCATGGGATAGGGCGACTGTTGGAATGAGCGGTCCTTCCTCAAGAAAAGGCAGCATTTCACAGGGATACGAAGGGAACTCCCAGAGGAGGGAGCTCCTCCCTTCTCTTCTACATCTAGCCTCACAGAGTTGCTTGGAGCTCTGAGAGGTTGTGGCTCGCCGGGGACAAAGTCAACGCTCAGTGGCCTTGAACTTGGGGCTCCAACTGGACAGTGCCTCCCCTTACCTCCTCTCACCCTCACAACCCTGGGAGGTGGGAGTTATTATGATCCCCATTTTACAGATGCAGAAGCTTAGGCCAAGGAAAGTTCAGTGATTTGCCTGCGAGCAGATCAGAGTGGGGGTGGGGGTGGGGCAGCTCTCTATCGAGCTCTTAGAATGCCAAGAACTCAGCTTCACGTTCCATGAGGGAGCATTTTATCCCTCCCCCCTTTTTTTCACAACCTTGTCAACTGGGCTTTCAAAAGCCTTGCTTAATTCATGGACACACACACACACACACACACACACACACAATGAAAAATGAACACAACGGGGCTGCTAGGTGGCACAGTGTATAGAGCTCTGGTCTTGGAGTCAGGAGGACCTGAGTTCAAATTCAGCCTCCGACACATAACACTTACTAGCTGTGTGACTCTGGGCAAGTCACTTAACCCCAATTGCCTCACTAAAAAAAAAATAAAAAATAAAAAAAAAAAATAAAATAAATGAAAAAGGAACACAAGACAATGATGGTGAAAAGATGAGGAACCAGGAACCTTCTCACACAGGGCACTGATGGTTCAGATAAAAACTTTTACTTCTTCCAATCTGGTGTAAGAGCAGAATCCACGCGGAACCACGAGGTACAGTTATTCCTCTAACAATAACAAAGCATTCACATTCATTTTATTACCAAATCACCATCTAGCTCAAGCAATCTCCAGTTTCCCCACCCTAGCTAAACAAAGGGCAGCAGCCCCCCCCCCCCAGGTGTACTTTGGGGAAAGGTCGCAGGTGAGCCTCGTTCTCGTCAGTCCACACCTAAAATCAGGGCCTCTGTCCAAAGAAGGATTTCACCAGGCACAATTCTTACACTGTCTCACAACTGTTATGGCCTAGCCTTGACCCCAATCCCCGCAGAAAGCTAGAAACAAGAAACTACCAATGGGTAGCAGCATTTCAGAAAATGGTTATGAATATATTAATGCAGTGATATCACCTGAATGCTACTATGGACAATTTGGGATTCATATTATCAAATATTTTAAAAAATGCAAAAGTGGCAAGGAGAGACAGTAATGAAAATAAATTGAGGCAAAAAATCGGGTTAGATATATGGTCTAAAATCAGAGTGGACTTCTGCTATAATGGTTCTTTGATGATGGCTTCAATTTCCTCAAATACCTTCACGGGTCCTTTGTAGTGATTCGTTTCAATTTCTTCTAACTTCCTCTGATAGTCAGAGGGCAGGCCATTCTGTTTGGCACCCCTGCAGATGACCTGGAAATGGATGGAAAACAAAAGAGGGGTTTCAGAAGGCCAGTCGGCTGGGACGGGCAGGGGGTGATTGTATTTGTAGGGCCAACATTATACTATGCAGCGGAGGCTTTTAAAAAAAATGAGCGTCTACATGCAAAGTATAAAATGCCTTGTTTTATACACTGAGCATTTAAAAACAAAAAGGATAAGTATAAACAAATAAGGATGTAGAGGAGGGAGAGGGGTATTCTGTGTGTCAAACACAGCATTTATCATCAGATTTGGTTAAGATGTGGGTTAATTTCCCTGAACTGGTTTTTCCCGCTTTTCCTTTTTTTATTTTTTGTTTTAAGGGATTGCTGTGGGGTGGGTGGATGGATACAGTGGGAAATGAAAGCGATGGAAAGGCAAAAACTATCCACAAAGCATTTTAAAAAACTCAATTCAAACCCAGTCACTTCTCAAGCATTGATTCTGCGCAAGGTGCAGTGCAGGTCACAGACAAAACCTAAGACTGTCCAGGCTCTCATGGAGCTCACACTCCAAGAGGGTGCGAATGCACAAAAGACTTTTCCTAGTTGGGTCAGAAACAGAGGAGAGCATTGCCAAAACACCTCTGCTGCTTAAGGTCATTTCCCCCATTGGGTTTGCAGAGACCCAGCATCTAGGCCCTCCTCGTCCTGCCGTCACTGTCCAGCTCTGAGAAATTACACGTGGAGTCTCTTTGAGAAGCTTTAAGTAGACACGGTCTTCTTTACTTCCTGCTGCCCGGTACTATGTCTTGTTGCCGGCTGTCCTTCCTCCTTAAAGAGGACCATGATATGAGGGAGGTGACGCCATGACACACAAGTGAACTGGATTTAGGTGAGGGAGGGCTGTGTGGTCAGCAGCCTCACTCTCTCCTCTGGAGCCATCGGGGTCCCAGTGGCCAGATGCACTCAGGACGACTGGAGATAGCCCCCTGCGACTGTTAAATGGTTATAACATTTAACTATCAGATGGGTGAAATGACGTCCCTAGTTTCAGGGTCAGTATACAAAGACCCACCTTGAAAGACGTGGCTTTGTCACAAACATAGGATGTATCTAGAATCCGTCTGGTGCTTATAGGCTCCCCAACTTATTAACCCACTAACATCTTTTGCCCAATATTTGCTGCATAGAAAGAAAGTCCATGAAGAAGAGCAGTTTAAATTACACCAGAGGCAGGCCTTGAATGCCAAAAATAAGGGCTTCATTTTTCTTCTGGGAGGTAATAGGGAGCCATTGAAAGTCACTGGGCAGAGGTCTGGCAGGTGCACTGGTAATGATAGGCTAACCTTGGTATTTCCATATTATGTGTCTATATTAAATTATGTATCTATATATCTTTTATATATATATCTATCTATATCATATATATAGATAAAATATACATATATCTATATGTATCTATATTAAATTATGTATCTATATTAAAGATTCAGCACAGGCAGAATCAATAGGATTTAGTACCTGACTGGATGTGGGGGTGGGGAGGAAATGAGAGGGAACAGTCAGAGAGGAGCCTGGGTTCTGAGCCTGGCACTTAGCTGGCCATGGCTGATGGAGAACAACTTGGCAGGAACCTATATGTTCTGCTCATAGAAAACTATTTTTCCTTGAAAATGTCTTTCTGGAATCATAATATAAATGAAATCACATTTTCCATTAATATTTTGAAACTTTAAAAAAACTGTTGATATGATCTTTATTTATGACCTTCACCTTCAAATATGTCCCTTCCCTTCTTCCTCACCCACAGAGCCTTCTCTTATAACAATAAAAAACGAGGAGGGGCAGCTAGGTGGCGGAGTGGACAGAGCTCCAGCCTTGGAGTCAGGAGGACCCGAGTTCAAATCCTGCCCCCAGACACTTGACACTTACTAGCCGTGTGACCCTGGGCAAGTCACTTAACCCTAACTGCCTCACCAAAAAAAAAGAAAGAGGAAGAGGATAACTTAATCAAACTAACCCACAGCAACTCAGTCCTGCAGGACACAATGCTCTACGCCCAAAGTCACCACCTATGCAAAGAAGTTTCCCATTGTAAAAATCAATTTGTGTTTTCAGAACACATAAGAATTTGTCTTCTTTTATTTCTGTAAATAAAATGTGTTCTGTAGTTATATTTCTAGTTTTTAAATTAAATTAATTTTTTTTAAATTAAGAGATATTTACTGTCCTAAAATATGTTTTTTTCCTTTCAATAAGATTTGCCTCACCACATTTTGTAAACTTTCACTCTAGGCAAAAACCAAAAGATCTGGAGGGCTGAAAAGCATGGGGGGCAGATCAGGGAGTGGGCATTTAGATAGCACCTACTATGTGCCCAGCGAAGCTGTGCTAACTACCTTATAATTCCAATAATGCTGTTAGATAATGGCTAACATTAATATAGTGCCTACTGTGTGCCAGGCACTGTGCTAAATGCTTTACAAATATCGTCTCATTTGGTCCTCACAACAACCCTGGGAGGGAGTTGCTGTTATTTTCCCCATTTACAGATAAGGAAACTGAGGCAAACAGTGATTCGCCCAGCTAGTGAGTGCCCGAGGCTAGATTAGAACTTGGTTCTCCCTGAATCCAGGTCCAGTGCTCTAACCACTGGGACACCGGCTGCCCACAAAGGGAGATAACGATAGCACCGCCGACCCACAGTGATTGTGAAGATCAAATGAAATTAATCTAAAGTGCCTAGCACATAGCAGGCCATACATGATGGCTTACTCCCTTCTGCTTCCAGAACAAAACAAAACATAATTAAAAAACCCAAAACAACACTGAAAATTCTTTTCTCCATTTCTCCAATGACAAATGGACGCTTACAGGATAATAAATTTAGAGCTGTTGAGGACTTCTGATCTCATCTATTCCAACCCTACCTGAGAGGTAAGTGATCTCCTAAGGACACACAAGTTGTAGTAGCAGAGTTTCTTGCTGGGATGTGAACCCATGTCCTGGACTCCAAACCGTCCCCACTTTCCACAGTACTATGCTGACTCGAGTGAGACAAGTTTCCCCATAAAACAAATCAGATTTCTTTCAAAACAGATATTTTCTGAAGGTCTGAGTTCCACCACTCCTTACCTTTTTATACTGCGGTGAGGGGGCCGCAGGGACGTAATCTGTCATCTGGTAACTTCGGCAGGTTAATACTTTCCCTTCTTGACTGCGAACCTCAATTTCTATTGGAATATACGTTCCATTTCCAACTCCTTCTTGTCTGAAACCCAAAACCAGATGTTCCCTATAAGTGGATTTCCCCAGTTTCATGTATTCTGCAAGATCCTTTGTTCAAGGTGGAGCACACACATAGAATGAAAGTCCAACTGTATAAAAAACACTGATTCTTTTAGCCCGGGGCCCTTCATCTTTTGAGTGTGCTGGACCCCTTGGCAATCTGGGAAAGTCTATGGACCCTTTCTCGGAGCCATACTGTTTAATACATCAAATAAAATACAAAGGATTAAAAAGAAAACTAATTATAGCTAGATAGTGATCAGAACTTTTTTTAAAAAAAGCTCACAGATTGCAGGTTCAGGAATTCTGCTCAAGGCATTTTTGGTACATTTATGTTCTAAATGTTTTTAGAAGTAATTTGGACTAATGGGATAAGCGGCCTTCAACCTTAAAAGTAAATCATTTAGACCAGGTAAGCCTGCAAATGAATATAACTTCACTTGTAACTCAGCTTCTTTATCAGAAAAATAATATATCAACACCATGCTGCTAAGTAGTTATTTCAATCTATGCACACCTGCAATATTATTCCTTTCTGTGCTATGAAGTAAATGTATGGAACTTGGCAAAAATGTCTATCTCTCCTGAAGAGAGAGAGAGAAAAAGACGTCTCTAATTCCCACTGAAGGATCTGCCACTTTCTCAAGAACAGTTAATCCGTTCCTCTTTTCCTCTTGGGCCCCTCTCCCACCCCAGCTTGGTAGATGATGCTACCATATGCACTAGAACAGAGTTCAGAAAGGACTAATTACATAAAGAAGGATAGCTCCCTTCAAGTTCAGATCACTACATTATTGTTCTAGACCTCTCCCATCAGAACTAAATGGCATTTTATAAGAACAGTCCCAATAAAGCTAGGGCATCTTTTGAAATCTCTAAGAAATAGGCAACAAATTATGTTTAAAATATTCATTTTTCAGAATATAAAGTAAAAAATTTCTAGATATGTATTTATTTTCCAAAAGTCAAATGACTACAAAAAAAAAAAAGAAAGAAAGAAAAAGAAAGAAAGGCATTTATCTTCAGATGAGCCAGAAACTGCAAAGGGTCTCCCCTCCAAGGGCTCTGAAAAAGAAATTACATTCTGCTGGAACAAGCCTGATAAATTGCAAAGGACATCATAGACATTTGAAAACAAAATCAACCCCTTGGTTTAAGTTTGGTTTAAAATAATTTTAAATAGAGCAGGCCCAGCATCCCTATAATTAAAAAAAAACAACACTTTGAGATGCTACATGGTATTTTCTTTTCTTTTTTCCTCTTTCTTTTTTTTCTTTTTTTTTAACGCTACATAGCATTAAGAAGTCAACAGCATGTGTTAAGTGCCTGATGTATGCCAAGCACTGGGCTAAGCACCATTAAGAACCCAACGTAAGCATATTCTTTCTAAATTAGTATTATTTAAAGTGTAATTAGGAGTCACCTACTCATCCAGAGAACTTATATTTTTCACGTGCATTTTCCATACGACTCCCCAAACTTCATCTCCAGGGCTCTGAACAATAGTAGCTATACCTCCATGCCAAGAGGTACTTGTTACACCCTGATAATTTCCAAAGTCAACTTTGAAATCCTGTAAAGGAAAACCAGTGCAATTATGATCAGTCTTTGGTTGTGTTCCAAGATCCCCTCAGTATCAAGATTCCTCTTAAGGCTGTCCTATCCACAAAACGCACTAATGAGCATTGTCTCATCAATGGCAAACACTGTAGGCTCCTCCATTTTTAGGGTCATTTAATATCCAAGGAATTCCCTACTGGTCTGCTTTGTTCTTTCCCCTAGAGAGGCTTGCGTTAAAAGGAGGTTCTGTATTCTATACACAATCCATCCATCAAACCCTTAGCTAAACATACAAATACCTTTATTCGTGTCTCTAAAGATTTCGCTTTCCTAGTGGATTTTTGTGCCTATACTCTGAATAAATACCAGTGTAACTGACAATCAGCCTGCAAAGACTGTCACAATCGGCCACCAATTGTCCTCAGCTGGCTAGTTATCTGCCAGACCTTTCTGGAAAGGTGGACACAGATCTAGTTATCACATAGGATTTCTGCTGGACCTTACAAAACTAGATTCATCTGGTCTATTGGATATTTGAAAAGTCGATCATATTAGGGGTTGCTGGCCCATGTGGTCACCCTATTTTCTCTCTCCCCCTCACACACACAACCACACACCTCACTCTGTTGGTCATCTACTGCTACAAGACTGCAAAGTAGCTTTTTAACATCACTAAATCTGGGATTTCACAGATGTGTAGACACTTCCCAGATCACAACACGTCCCCACTTTAATAGGCAACGTCATGAGTGACTTTTTTTATGTTCAACACCTGGGGGCCACCTTCTGGTGATGTGCCTTGGTTGGTCCTCCAATGACAGTTCCTGGCAGGCCACAGCCAAAGCCTTTTTTAGATAAATAGGGCTGGACAGGGCCAGTAGGGTGACTTCAAAAACTCTGGGTCACCAAGAGAAGGACAATACATGATTCCATCAGCTAGGTGGTGCAGTGGGTGTAGTGTTGGGCCTGGAACAGCCAGGAAGACCTGAGTTCAAATGCTGACAAACATTTCCTAGCTGTGTGATCTTGGGCTTAGCAGTAAAATGGGGATAATAACAGCACCTACCTGGCAGGGTTGTCGTGAGGACAAAATGAGGTATTTGTAAAGCGCTTAGCACAGTGCTTGGCACGTAGTAGGCAGTTAACAAACACTTATCCCCTTCCCCCTTCCAACAGAAGGGACCATTAGAACACCTCACCAAGGCTGAGGTGGCTGGGTGCCTGACCCACGCCAAGACCTTACACTACACCGCCAGGACCAACGCCCCGGTGACCCTTAGATTCGGGTCACTTTGCGATCTGTAAATGGGGCACCCAGGAGTGTAGCAGTGTGCCCCGGGTAACTCCTGTTCAGGCAGGGTTGATGTGGCGGCATCACAGAGGCCAGGTGCCGGAGGAGTAGGAGGCGTGGAGCCCACAGCCCTTTTCCTGGTCACCTCCATGACCTTGGGCACCGCATGAGGTAGATAGGGCCCCGGAGGAGTCTGGAAGACCTTGGTTTGTATACCACCTCCGACACCGACTAGCTGGGCACGGCCATGCTCTGGGCCTCAGTTTCCCCATCTGTCAAAGGAGGACCCATAAGGTCCCTTCCAGTTCCAGATCTAGTTCTAGGATCCTGGGAGCTTGGCTGGGTCTCGGTCGGATCGGACAAGACTCAGAGGCCAGCAGGCGTTCCCCCTCCCCCCACCCCGGCCAGGGACTCTTGTCTGGCCATCCTCTGATGGAGGCCCGGTTCGGCCCACCCTGGGCAGCCGCGCAGGGGTCAGGGTCCTCCGGGCACCTCGGAGCTCGCCTCATTTAACACAGCTGGGCTGGTGCGCCCCCCTCGCACCACCCCCTCCCCAACCCCACGCAGGAGGCAGTGTCCGGCAAGTGTCCGGCAAGCGTCCATCCCTCCTCCAGTCGAGCCCGGCCACGGGGATTACACTACGTCCTACGGGTTCTGATCCCATTTCACAGACGAGGACCCCCGATCCGCCCTCGCGGTAGAGGGGCGGAGGGGGAGGGAGGCCGGGGGTCCCGGGCCGACCCGGCCAGTGGCAGCACTTGAACTCGGATCCTCCTGAGCCCAGCTGGGGTACTACCCTCGGCCGCGCCTTCCGGCACCTCGGGTGGACGCCCGGTCCGACGACCATCGTCCAGCACCACTGCCCCCGTCCACATGCCCCGACGGCAGGGCGAGGGGGGGGCGTGCCTCAGTTTCCCCGCCTGTCCGCCCCGGCTCCCTGACCTGCAGCAGGGCCACGCAGATGAACTGGGCCGAGGGGTTCCGCAGCCGCAGCCGCTCCTTGAGCAGGTTGCTGCCGTAGGCGAAGTAGAGAAAGTGCTCCCCCAACGCCCCGGGTTCGGCGTCCGCCGCCAGACCCCACGACTCCATGGAGCGCTCGGCGCATGCGCGGCCGCCGGCGTGGGGAGGGGACAAGGGCCGGGCCAAGGGCCGGGCCACGGTCCAGGCCGGGCCGGGCCTCCTTGCCGGGCCGGCGCCTCCGCTCCCTTCCCCGGCGGGGTCGATCCGGGGGCCTCCCGGCGCCCACGCGCCTCGCCCGCGGTGCTCCGCCGCCCGCTCCCGGCCCGGGACCAGCGGCACGACGGACCGAGAGCAACGCCTCCCCGATTGGCCGCTGGCCCTCGGCTCCTTTGCGCAGCGCCCCCTGATTGGCCGATCCGGCGCCGGCTCCTCCTTCTACCTCGCCGAACTCCCGGCCCGCTCTTTTAACAGCTCCCAAACACAGCTGTCCTCGACCGGCTTTCTGATTGGTCAAAGGAATCCGAGGCCCCGCCTCTCCTCTCCTTCCATTGGTGGGTGGGTGGAGTGACGTGGTCGCCCAGGGAAACGCCGACAAATGGGAGAGGGGGGAGGAGAGCAGGACAGGCGGTCCCGGGCGCTGGTCCAAGCTGTCTGGTCGAGGTCGTGGGCGGGCTGAGTCAACTGGGGCACTCCGAAAGGCTTCGTGTAGGAGGTGGCCCTCGGGCTGAACCGAGAAAGGAGGTGAAGTTCCAAGGTGCTGACGGAAAACAACAGCTGGCACGAGGGAGAGGCTTTTGCAAAGGCGCGGAGGCGGGAGATGGCGTGTCGAGTATGGAAAACCACAATAAAGCCCGTTTGGCTGGACTGAAGAATGTGGTGGGGAGTGGTAAGGGGTAACCAGACTAGATGCCGAGCAGGCCTTTTGTGGTTTATCCTAAAGGTATCGGGGGAGGAGAGAACCAGCGGAAGGACAGGGTCAGATGCTTCCTTAGGGGCTGTCCGTGTAGAGGGAGGGTTGCAGAGGCGGGGGAGGAGGCAACTGTTGCTGTGGTCTGCATCGTAATCAGGGCACCTTCAAGCTCACCTGGTCCAGCCCCCATTTCGCAGATGAGGAAAGTGAGGACAGTGTCTGGCACCAAGAACGCACCTGACAGAAGGTGCTTGTTAGTGCCTGCATGACACACCCCCTTCCATTGCCTTCATCTGCTGTGCTTGAAAGCCTAGGATAGGCGCCTTGGAGACTTTGTTTCCCATCCTTTGCTCCTTATCCTTTTCAGAATGACCAGCAGCTCCCACACCTGCGCCCTCAGGCGGGGCTGGGGGGCTCAGCGTCTGACAGCCCCTCCCATCCCCCCCAGGCTACAAAAACTTTGAAGTCCAAGGGCCTGCCTGGCTCTGTCTGAGACGGAAAATCACCAGGTTGGTCCAGGGGAACGAGTTGTTTTGGCCCCGGCGTTCCTGAGAGTCGTCCCGCTAGGTTGTAGAGGGGTTGCTGCCTGCACCCATGGAGAGAATAATCAAACTTCCAAAATCCCAGACACTTCAAGTGGTCAATAGTATCCCAGTGTATGCTTTCCTCTGTTGTTATGGAAATATCTAAAATTTAAAAAGCAACGGGGAGACCAATAAATCAGCAGGCTTTTAGATGCAAAGACAAATGTGAAACAGTCTCTGTTTTACAGATGAGGAAACTCATCAGAGGCAGGCAGGGGGGAAATGACTTGCCCAGGGTCATGCAGTTAATATGAGTCAGTGGTCAAATTTGAACTCAGGTCTTCCTGACTCTAGGCCCATCCATCCCTCCTGCCTCACTTTGCCAAAAGGGAAACTTGGAGTCGTCTTCCCATTTCCCAAGGCCCCCTGCCTGGCTCTTCAGATTTGGATTGGGGTCCCTCCTCCCCTCTTCTTACCAAGCCCACTAGAAGTGGTATTTATTTAGCCGGGTCTCCTCTGACTTCCAGCAAGCCAGCCTCCTTGTCCTGACACTGGTTGGCTGCTGAGAGGCAGGATGGAGCCAGCTGGGTTAGTTTTCTTCCAATTCATCTCAGAGTTCATGGGGTTTAGAGCTGGGAGGGATGTTGGAGGCAGGCAGAGGCCCCTCATTTTGCCGCTGAAGGACCTTTGGGGTGAGAGAGATGAAGACACTGGCAGAGAATTAGAATGGAAACCATCCTCTGCCTCAAAGGCCAGGCCTCTTTCTTCAGGCTACAGTACCTGAGTGACGTGGGAAACTTACTTCAGTTCTCTGGGCCTCATTTTCCTCATCTATGAAATAGGGGATTTGGCTCAGAAAGGCCCATTTCAGTGCCAGATCTACAAATGAATGGGAGCACCAGGCCTGACGTCAGGAAGACTCATCTTCCTGAGTTCAAATTTGGCCTGACACTCACTCTCTGTGTGACCCTGGGCAAGTCACTCTACCCTGTTTGCCTCAGTTTCCTCATCTGTAAAATGAGCCGGAAAAGGAAATGGCAAACCACTTCAATATCTCTGCCAAGAAGACCCCAAATGGGCTCATGGAGAGTCTGACGTGACTGAAACAACTGAACAACAAATATTCACTGACCTCCCTGGCTTCCTTTAAGTCCCAACTAAAATCCCTTCTTTTACTGGAAGCCCTCCTCATCCCCTCTTAATTCCAGTGTTTTCCCTCTGTTGGTTATTTCCTATTTCTCCTGCATGTAGCTGGCTTTGTATAAGCATGTTGGCTTGTTGTCTCCTCCATTAGACTGTAAGCTCCTTGAGGGCAGGGATTGTCTCTTGCCTCTTTTTGTACCCCCAGTGCTTAGCACAGTGCCTGGCACATAGTAGGCATTTAATACATATTCATTGATTGATCACTCTGTGCAAATCCCTGCACTGAGAAAAAGTGATACTGCCCCTCTCTCCAGGAGCGAATGGGGAGACCACCGCTAGGCAGCCAGGTGGAGGGGTCCCATGGTCCTTGGGGACAGCAGCAGCAAAGCAAACGGTCCTCAGTGTCATCTCTACTCCAAGATCCTCTCGGTTTCTGGTGCTGAACCATCTGACGGTGCCCAGGACTTTGGTGGCAAGGACTCACCTCTCTGGGCCTTCAGTGACTGTGTCTGCAGCCCCTGCAGGAGCAGGTTCAGGCTACCTCTCCTTGGGGGCTGCTTCCCAGGAGGGCCGCTGAGGGCCCTGGGCTGGAAGAATTCCTTGGCCTTGATTCCATGTTCATAGAAAAGCAAACATGGTGAGAGCCTTTCTTAGTGACTTGTGACTGAAGCCTTCCCTCTGGATTGTGTCGGCGTTAGAATAGGGACTCCTGGAGAGCTCTGAGCAGCTGACTTTTCTATGTGTGTCCCCAGCCGTGTATATAGTAAGCACTTACTAAATGTCTTATTTATTCACTGATTCTTTCAAGCTTCTCTTCTCAAACTCGTTTTCTCACATCTTGCTATCTTAAAGTCACTTGATGAAGGTTGTAGCTTTATCAGATGGCTTCCAGTCTCCATGATGTCCATCAGGCATTTGGAAATCATATTGCAGTTTAAACATACAGGCCGAAAAATTAGAAAGTAGAAGCTTGTTTCAAGGTTTAATGGATCGGGGGATTGCCATCCATGTGGAGGACAGTTTGATTTCAGTACGGCTTTGGGCCCAGTCTCATGATACCCTTGTGGGCAAGGTGGAAAAAGATTAAGTGCCTAGTTGTGTTAGGTGGGCTTATGGCTGGTTTAAGCAGTGTATCCAGAATATCCGTTACTGTGGTCCAGTGTCATCTTGGGCTCTGGCAACTGACTGAGAAGACCTTGAAGGACACTTAAGGAATGCCCTGAGGGGAGGGAGCAGATAACCTCCTCCTCACTTCTTTCCCCCAGGATCTCAGTGAATTCTCCATATATAGCTCCATATAGCGAACATTTATTAAGTACCTAATATGTGCCAGGCACTGTGCTTAACACTTTATAATTATTATCTTACTTGATCCTCACCACAACCCTGGCTGATAAAGGCTATAATATTATCCCCATTTTACAGATGAGGAAACTGAGGAAAACAGAGGTTAAATGACTTGCCCAGGGTTACACAGTTAGTAATTGTCTGAAGCTGGATTTGAACTCAGGTCTTCCTCTCTCCAAACCTGGCACTCTGCTAGCACCACCTAGCAGCTGGGGCATAAAGCTTGTGGGCGCAGTACTTGGCCCATAGTAAGCACTATGGTAACTATTAATATTAATAGTTAACTATTATTAACTTTGTAGCATGCACAATTGTAAAGAGGTTTAGGAATATTCACCTTCTCTTTGCGTCTAGGAAGAGCATTGCTCCAGAATTTCTCCTTCAATAACCCTCTTGAATTTCACCTTTTGGCTTTATTTAACACAACTAAATCAATTTTTAACTTTCCCTAGAGATATGGGATTAAAAGGAGCCTGTTATGAATACAAATCACCTGTGTCCTTGTCAGACTCCTGGGTAGGCAGCTGGCCGGTAGAATACTCCACCCACCCCCTCATCCGCTCATTTCCTGCTTATCCTCTTCCGTATGAGCCCCAAACCTTCGGATAATGTTGACCCAAATCACCCCGCTCTATTTAGCGTCATTGCTGGGATCTTCTCAGCTGACCGAGCAGCTCTGGGTGTCCAAAGAAGCAACCGAAACCAGAGAGTTGCTCGTGGGAGAACTGAGTAGACACCTGTGTTGATTGCACCGTGCAGTCTGGTTTCCCAGGACCCAGGCATTCACCTTTCAGTGGCATTAGGAGCCCACGGTTCCAAGCTAACTGAATCTGGCTAACGATGTGCCTTAAAACAAATGCAGAAGCTGGCAAAACTTCCTAGCTGGGTCTCCCCTTCCAAGGACAGAAGGGATGTTGGGCATAATTGTTTGGATATGAACTTGCCCATTAAAAGGTAAACTCTGTGGGGCTGTTTTTGCCTCTCTTTGTATTTCCAGCGCTTAGCCCGGTACATAGTAGGTGCATAATAAATGCTTTCTGCCATTGCTGCTGATGGCTGGGGTGGTTGTGGTCCTGGGTATCCAGGTGGCAGCTGCAGACCCATCTCCAGGTTACCCTCTTGGGGGCTTTCTCCCATGATGCCTTACCCCTTGAACAACACAGCTGCAAAGGTTTTCATCATTATCATAGTAACTAACATTTATAATATTGAGTCTGATCTTGAGATGCTGGGAAGTACTTCATCACTGGCCTGTCCGTCATCTCGCTGGATTGCAGAAAAGTCTGGCAGAGAAGCATAAGATCTAATGATTCTCGTGGTTGTCCTGTGACTCTCGGCCCTGTTACATAATGACTCAAGGCCATCCGTCTTCATCTTTGTTGTGACGAGGCAGTGGACAAACTAGTATCAGAGCAGTGTGCTCATGGAAAAGAAATTTCCAGAACATCCAGAGAATGACTTCCGACTCTGTCTATCAGGCCTGCCTGATGGGAGCTCAAGATGGCAGTGTGCTGGGGTTTGATGGAGACAGGAATACCTCAGTGAGCAGGCCTCGAGTTTCAAGAATGTATTTCGGGTCACAAGAAAACAAGCGGGGTGTTGCGGATGGAGAGGGGTTTCTACCGATCTGGCTGTCCCCAATCCCACACTTTGTCTTGAGTGGACAGCGCCACAGGAAAGCCAAGAGGCAGCAGTTACCACTTCAAGTCTGTCCCGTAGGGTCCATCCAGTGACAGCAGAAATGTGTGCCTCTGGGGGACACGGCTGTCGCCTAGAAACAGTCTCGTTCATGGGCCACCTAGCTGTGTCTGGATCACGTTGCCTCCTGTCCCGCCATCTTCCTCAACCATCTCCTACTAGAACCACCCGGTCTTGGTCTCTGGCCTCTGATAAGTGAACTTTTCTCCTGTTGTCTAGAGCCAGGTTTCCATACCAGGTTCCAACCATTTCCAGATCATGCAACATAAACTTCCCTTCCACATCAGGAGTTTCTCACAATGATGAAATCACATGTGTCCATTATACCCCACCCCCAACCCAAAGTACCGGTAAAGTAGTTTACAGGTTCATGATTAGGCAACCACATGGAAACCTACTCAGTTGTCTTTAGCAATACCAGTAGATCCTGTTAGGCCAGTCAACTTTTAACATTTGAATACTGGCGTTTACTTATTAAAATATTTTAGTGCCTGTAAATACTAATTAATAATTCTTCTACAAAAAGAATTTTTTTCCTTCCAGACTTACAATTTGGAGTGTCTGTTCATTGAGCAATTACTTTTCTTTCACTGTAACTTGATTTTTAGTACTTTTAAAATGTATATTAGCTTTTAAAATTAAATTTAATCACTAATGAATTGACAGGACAGATTAAATGGTGGTCTCTAGTTATTACAAACTCTTGTTCTCTTTGGGCTTAGTATGTACCATGTTTAATTGTTTTCCATTCTGCTGAAAGTCTTGGGAGCAACAGTGAACTTTAAGCAGTCTTAGAATGAGAGAGTGATTACTTCTAGGTGCCAGGACTATGGGTTAGAGTAGATAGGATAGTTGATACTTGGGAAGAACTCCCTTTACCTAGCTTGGGAAATAACCAACTTTTGTTGCAGATTTTTTTTTTTTGCAAGGCAGTTGGGGTTAAGTGACTTGCCCAGGGTCACACAGCTAGTTAAGTGTCAAATGTCTGAGGCCAGATTTGAACTCAGGTCTTCCTGACTCCAGGGCCGATGCTATATCCACTGCACCACCTAGCTGCCCCTTGGAAATCTTTAAAAAGATTCTTCTCGGCCCACATATGAGGAAAAATAAAGGAGAAATGAATATACAAAGAGTCCTGATTGGGATTTAGAAAGAGTGACTGAAATAGTTTCATGATTATTTTATGCATGAAATAAATTTATTTAAATATAAATAGATATTAATCATGTTTAGTCATTTATATTAATATTCATTATTAAGTTTCTAACAAAGCATTTATTTTCTTTAAAAAATTCTACTTTAAAGAAGTTTGATTTAGTTCCTATATTTATCCCAAATAATTTCTTTAATTTTTTTTCCCTTTTATTATTATGCATCTAGCGAACACGAGCATTTCCCTGTACAAAGAAGAGAAGAAACATCCGGCTGCCTGTGAAACTGTGACCCTTCACCATGTGAGGCTTGTTTCTCTATAGATAGATCAGGGCCTCTCTCTTCATGGAGCTGAGAGCTCTCTCCCAATGGGAAAGCCCTTTCACTGTTTATTTTCTGGTGTATTTCAGTTTATATACATTTCCCTATGTACTTGAATAAATGAGTTTGCTCACCATTCACTATTTGTGATGGTCTTTTGTGTAACTAGCATTTTGGTTAATTGAAGGAGGCAAGTAGGGGTAAACCTGGAGTTTTCCCGACTCTGGGCCTCTATGCCACCTCCAGCAAGATGCCAGCCTACTTCTAGACTAACCCAACAAGAAGGATCTTTCTAGAAGAAAGTTCAGAGAATTCCCCTCCAGCAAAGACTGTGGCAGGGCTCTCATAAATGAGCTGCTGTGGGCCTCCTCCACATGTAGCTGTGCTGACTTGGAAGAATGAAAGGCAAGTGTCCGGGCCATCTCTGTTTCTTGGAGCTACTTAAAATGTAGCTTTAGCTGGGGCAGAGGTTTTGACCAGTATTAAGCCTCAAGATCCCCAGGTAATCTATTCCTGTCCAAGGTCTGATGAGAATAAACTAAACTGTGACTTGGGCCCACACCAAGCCTTGAACAAGTGGGGAAGAGATGTCCAGATGAAAGAAACACAGGTTAGGCAAAGATCTCAGACATCCTCCTCAGCACATAACTTAAAAGCAAAGGGGCCTGAGACCTCTCTGGGAGGAAAGACAATGACTTCTAGAATTCAGAGCTGCCCCTGCCAGCCCCCAACCCACCATCCTCCTATGGGTGGGAAGGGTTATGCTCTCAAGATAGAGAATGTCTTCTCTGGTATCTTATTCCCACAACGGGGTGTTTTATTTAAAAAAAAACAACAACACCTATCTCCCCCTTAAGGGAAGCTATAGGACCAGAGAAATTGTGGGAGTTTAGAGTCTTGTGATTTTCTTGTTAGGGCAGCTAAGTGGCATAGTAGATAAAGTACCTGAAGTCAGGAAGATCTGAGTTCAAATCTGGCCTCAGACACTAGCTGTGTGACCTTGTCACTTCATTTTGTTTGCCTCAGTTTCCTCATCTATAAAATGAGCTGGAGCTGGAAATGGCAAACCACTCCAGTCTTCTTGCCAAGAAAACCCCAAATGGGGTCACAAAGAGTCAGACACAGCTGAGCAACAATTTTTTGTTGCTGGTTATATGAGGCATATTGACTTCTTTTGGATATGTTGTGGTTGTCTGTATGTTTACCAGTTGGGAAGCCAGTCCACTAGGCTGTCCAGTGGAGATGTTTTCCCAGAATTTGGGGGGCAGCCTCCAGCCAGGTAATGTGATATGCTGACACACAGTTTAGTTACATAACGTAGTCATAAACAGACTAGTTTGGGGTTTCTTTTAGCCATTCTATTAAGAATGCCAACCTTCAGAGAAACGTGATTCCTGGGACTGTTGGCTGTGATCTGGTGCTTCTGATGATTCCAAATTATTGTACCGACACAGGAAAATGCTTTTCTAAAAGTGTGTGTTTGCAGACCCAGCACCGGTCTGCACACAGCTGAGGCCCAAGGAGCTGGGGCTCTTCACCAGTCCCTGTCTTTGACTTGCCCTCCCAGTTTGCCTTAAATCATTGCTCTGAGGTTATCTGGTCCCTCCCCTGCCTCGCCCCCCACAACTCACAATTCTGGTTTTGGTTCTAGTCTCAGGGGTCCTCCCCAGCAGGGAAGAGGAAGGAAGAAAGGATCCCACAGCATTGACATGAGTCAGGTGTGGAATAAGCAGTTTCACTCCCACACAGAAAAGGGAATCCTAGGTAAAGACGCATAGAATTATTAAAGTCAGTTGGAGGCCACTTCACACCCTGTCAGGACCTTTGTAGGGGCTGCTCACTAGCCATTTTACATTTCGTCCGTCCTAGATACAGCCTGCTCAGCCCCAAGTGAGCTCTTTCCTTTCTGCTGGTTTCGCTCTCTGGGGGTGACTTTCCCTGCCTGCTGTTCTACCTACCTGGAAGGGTTATTGTGAGAGTCAGTATTTGTTAAATGCTTTACACAGTGACTGGCACGCGGTAGGTGATATGTAAATGCTTGTTTGCTTTTGCTCTTCCTGCTCTGCTGCTCTCTCTTGGCCCTGATAGCCAATAACCCGCTGGTCAGGTGCCTGGGGTAGAGGATGGTGTCAGATCTGAGATCTCACAAGACCCTGGACCCGAGGAAAGAGGCTAGGAACAGGAGGCGGCTGAATTCCAGATACAGGCTTGCCTAGGAGGCCACGTCCTCAGGATCTGGTGGGCAGGACAGCCCCGCCCTGAGACCCTGAAGGGCTCAGAGACTTGCCCTCATACCCTGACACCAGCAGGAAGAGGAAGCCTGAGGGAAAGGATTGCCCTCTGCCTGGTAGGGGAGGAAACCTGACATCACGGCCAGAAGGAGGCAGTCAGGGGACCTCTCTGCCTCTGCTCTGAGGTTAGCCCAGCATTCCAGCCTCTGCGGCATGAAGATGCAGAGCGGGACTTAATAGAGAATTCTGATGCAATCTTGGTGTTTTATATACACACATATTTTGTATATATAAATTTCATTTATTTATTTAATTTATAAAATTTACTTTATAAAATTTATATCTGTGTATATGTGCAAGTACATACAAACATATGTACACATATATTATATAAAGCTAGATTTCACAGCTATTCAAAGTTTCTTCTAGAATTCTCTTATACTTGTATTGTGAAGTTTGTGTCTGTTGGTGATAAAATCATTATATATATATATATATATATTTTTTTTTTTAATTGAAGGGCAGCTAGGTGGCTAGGATAGAGAAATGGCCTTAGAGTCAGGAGGACCTGAGTTCAAATCTGGTCCCAGACCCTTACTAGCTCTGTGACCCTGGGCAAGATTGCCTCAAAAAAAAAAAAAACTGAAGAGGGGTTTAGGGGAAACGGTCAATTAGTGGGATCAGGAAAGGCCCCTTGTAGGAGGCCCATGAGCAAAGACTTGGAGCGAACTGGACACTCGAGAGCAGAGGTGACGAGGCACGGAGAGGCCACCAGTGCAAAGTCATGGGCCCCCCAGAGGTAGAAAGCCAAGTTGGGGGAACATCAAGCGAGCTAATCTGGCAGGACCATAGAATGTGTGATGGGAATAATGTAAGATAAACTTGGAAAGGTGAGTGGAAGCTGTCATAGCCTTTACATGGCAAATAAAAGAGATTCTTCTACCTTTTCCTTGAGTCAATAGCGAGCCTCAGAAGGTCAGATTTGTTCTTGAGGAATAGTCTTTTGTGAGGCAATAGAGGTTAAGTGACTTGCCCAGGGTCACACAGCTAGTAAGTGTCAAGTGTGTGAGGCTGGATTTGAACTCAGGTCCTCATGACTCCAAGGCCAGAGCTCTATCCACTGCACCACCTAGCAGCCCCGTCAGATATGTTCTGCCGGTTGGAGAATGGTTTGGAGAGGGCAGATCTAGCGGTAGTGAGTCTCCTTCCTGTAGGTTTCCTTCTGCAAAAAGTATGCTGATGTACTTAATAATCCAGGGAAATTACGTGTTATAAAGGGTGGCTGTTTGGCAGGGGGAGAGGTAGGAGAAAGGAGGAAACATAGGAGAACATTTAGACGCATGGAAAAATAAAAAATATTAGTAGAATTTTTTTTTTTTTGATAGTCTAATGGAGAGTAGCTGAGAGACTGAACTAGGGTGGCGGTTATGAGAGTGGAGAGAAAAGTAACCGATGGGAGATATGTTGTGGAAGAAGAATCTATGAGATTGGACAGCTGAGTGAATATTAGAGGGTGGGAGGAGATGAAGAAGAGGGAAGAGTGAAGACTGGCTTTGAGGGGGCAAAGCTTCCTGCTTTCACTATCTGTCAATCAACAAGGACTAAGGAAGTATCCCTTACGAGTTAGGTGCTGAGAATACAAAGACCAGAACAAACAATCTCTGCCATCAAGGACCCTAATTGCACCAGGGGAAAAACCTTCGCACATTTGAGTAGACCATAGACTCTGGGCTTTCCCAGCTCCAATTTACCAGTAAGTCGGATCCCTAGAGGATGTGCGCTCTATCTCCTCTAGAGCTCTGAGAGTTCAGGATGTGTGATTTTCTGTTGGTCACGAGCCCCCACTGGTGTGCTTCCCTTCTTTGGTTGTCTGATAGCATAATCAGCCAGACTCCATTAACTTTTAGAAAGGATTATTTACTAAAATGGTATAGTAAGAAAGTTGGAACAAAACCTCACAGTCTATAACACACTTGTCCACCAGTCCGTACAGAGTCTGGGAAAAGTGGATTCAAGCTTAGGGAGCATGTGGAGCAAAAGGTAACAGTTCTTAGAAATCCTTCTGTTGGAGTTGTCAAGATGTCCCCTTTAGACATGGCATCACTTTTCTGCTACATTCTTTATAGAGTCTTGTATCTGTCTTTGAAGTCCACAAGGTCCCCCCTAAGCAAGGGGAGTTGAAAGGAGACCAAGGCCCCTTCTCGGGGACTTGGCTGGAACTTCCATCCCCACCTACCCTCCTCTAGACATCTTGACTCCCAAACTAGATTCTGGTTTTAAACAGACCCCACGGAGTGTGACCGAGTCTCTTGACCAATCCAAAGAGATTTCTGTCACCTAATTGAAACACCCTTGAAGGGAGATAGCTAGACCCCCTTCACATTTAGTTGATGTTTGATGAATTGATTCAATTTTTCAAAGGTTCCCTTCTTGTTAGTTACTTTGAGCCCTGGAGGTAATTTAATTGATTTACTCCGACAACATCCTCCTGCCCCCACTCTTCTATAATTACATTCAAAAGATAGTCAAAGTAAATCAAAGGTTATGGGGTGGTGGGATACGCTGGCACTGTGGGAGATCAAGAAAAGCCTCCCATAGCAAGCATACCTTCGGCTGATCCCCGAGGAAGCTGGGAATTCTAAAGGGGGAAGGAGGGAGAGGGAGTTCAGATTCTTCACAATCCCCACCCTCTACCTGTGTCATGCCCCATTTTCCTGATGCAGGATACAAAAGGGATGCATTCCTCAGCCCTGTTGGGTCTATTTTAAATCACTCAGGCTTTCCCTTTTCTCTCTGTTCCACAAGACCTAGCTTTTTGCTTTACCACAGATTCCTTTGCTAGGTCTTCTCAGATCTAAAAGCCAGACAATTTGCCAGAGGTATGA